TAGGTAAAGTGTATAACATTGATCATCTCCTTACAAACATAATGTTCTACTGGGAAACTTTAGGTCCTGACATTCATATGGATGTGACTTTGACACCCACCTTAAGTCTTTTGCACCCAGCATGGCTACAGCTCTACCCAACAGCAGCAATCTAACATGAAAGACTGATGTGCAGAAACATCACATCGCAAAGTGTTTCACTTAAAATGGAAGCGTAGGAAAGAATTAAACACTAAAAGTTACACATTGTTCCTGATGTGTCCTACGTTTTAATTCACTGCTCACAAAAGTATCAAGTGCCTGTTAAAAGGATTTGTTATTCAGCGAACAAGGGAGTGATTTCCGTCATTTCTCCTAACAATGCCCTCGCCTACATATATCATTTGTAGGTTCCAGCTGCAGGCCTTCTAGTCACTACCATAGACTGTATAAAAGATGGACGTAGCAACTGGCCCTGAAAAATGAAGCCAACCTGGAAGTGTCAAAAATCTACGTCCGCCAGCTGCTGGCTCCAAAAAGCCCTGGCTCCCATAGACTTGAATTAGAAAAGAAGTGATCACAGACCACGAAATACCATATTCCTAGAGCTCAGGATTTTTTTCTTGTTAGTTTTCATAATCAAACTCAGAGATCAGGTGGCCAATCTGAAAATAAATCAATACTGAATTTTTAAAAAATCGTCAAAATTTTGCGGGGCGAGGGCCGTGGCTGGCTTGATTGACAGTTGGCAGTGACGATACAGACGACGCGAGCAGAAGGCGGTAAATGTGGGCGGGCAGAGAGGGCCCGCCTCTCAATCCGTCTGACCAATCGCTGCTCCTATGGCTCCGCCCCCCTCCGACGATTTTTGCGTCACTGGCTCCAAAAATCCAAGATGTCAACCAGGAAGTAGCAAAACCCTGGCTTCATTTTCTCAGTGCAGAAACCAACGGGTGACGTCACGGTAGCTACGTCCATCTTTTATACAGTCGATAGTCACTACCAGGAACTAAAACCTTTAGAAACAGGTCATGAAAATATAAATTCAGTTTTTTAAAAAATGATAAAGGGAGTATTTTCATCAGCAGATTTGAACCGAGTTGGCACATGATGAAGGAACTTGTCAGCCGGTGCTGCGCAGTTCAATGATTAGTTCGTAATAGAATCTGAATAACGGCAGCGCTCGATGGCACAGAGGCATAAGCTGTATCAGGCTTTACACAGAAAATACCTCTTCTACCTGCTAATTAGCTGCTTTAGGATTTTTTAATGGGATTTGTTGATGGTAAGGAAGATGCAGAACATCACCAGCTTCAACATTTAACGTCCTCCGAGCAGTGGTGGAGGAAGACGCAGCTGTGATGCAAAGTGACTGAGATCATCGCCACAGTAACTGTACCCGTTCTGCAGCGAACAGAATTAGGCTAATGGCTCAGCTGAGAGCAGAAGCAGATTAGGTAGCACCTGTTCTGTGGTGTGAGAGTTTGGTGATCGGTGCTGCTTTCTTTTCTCACAGAACCAATTAATTACAAAGAAATCCTCGTGACGGCTCCACCAGACATCTCATTAAGCCTCCTGACACACATTCGGGGCGCAATCCTAAACTCGCTCTGTTCTCAATTTGAGGGAATAAAGGTTGAGATAATCAAAGCGCCCGTCTTCTTCTTCTTAATCCAGTCGACCTCGGACAGAGGTCTGACCGGACAATAAGAGAACACTGCGCCTCCGGGGGGACGAAGCAAATTAATAGAGAAATGCCAAAAAAATGTTCGACTGGTTCCGCCACGACGGGAAAAAAGATTATATTCATGACTTTCATTGGCTTTTTCAATTTATCTCTTCTATCGAGCGGCTTCAAGGTATTGTGAATAATAAGGAAATGCTGTGTTTAAGATATATTAGCAAAAAAGCCAGACTTTAAATTGGGCAATGTAACATTCCTCTGAGTATGACAGCTGATAATACAACCTGCTCAGCCAGGAGTGCTCCCTTACTTTGAGTGGAATTAAAATTTGCATATCCTGGGAGTTCATCCATGAAGTAAGCTCAGCACAGGGCTATTTATTATTTATTTGTGCTAGTGTTTTTTTTTTTTTTCCCCCTCACAAAGTTGTCTGTTATTACAAGCTACCTCTGCACAACACAAGGCAGCTTTAAACTGAACTTCAGAAAGGAGCCTGCGTAGGTCGGAGAGATTTCTTTTTGACTTTCTAATGGCACCTATTTCTCCAAGGATGACTGCTTTTAAAGGCTGTTAGAGCGCAGAAAGGTATTGCCCATAATAAGTAGGTGCATCATAAAGTCGCACAGACGCACGAGCCACATTCAGGCTTTGTGATTAGAGCCTATAAAGGCCAATGCAGATTGATTCTGCTGACAGTTCTTCAAAGGTCAACATCTCTTTAACTGGAATCGGCAAAACATCAGAGGAGACGAGGAGTGAAGGATGAAGCGGCTGCGTGTGCGCGCGTGTGTTTGAAGGAATCTATTCAACTCCGCAGCTCTAATTACTGTAACTCGCCGAAGAAAAAGGGAACAAGAAGCAGACGTCTCACGAAAACCTGCAGATATTGCAGAAGGCAGAGAAAGAAAGAAACACAATGAACGCCGAGACTTGTTGCCCAAACTGTCCAGCGTAAATGTGCGCTGTAACTTCGAAGTCTGATCTTGCAGCATATGGATTTTTCTGGGTTTCATCACTGCTGCTTTCATCTCACAATTTTGGGAGAAGAGCCAAATGTTTACCCTTTTACTCTCTCAGCCACACCAAGCAGCACTGTGTTGGGAAGTAATGCGCGCTGGTGTGTTTTCGCCAGCTCTGAAATGAGCGAAAGCCGCTGCAGACCACCACCCACCTCAGCGAAACCACATCCTATGCAAAGCAGATATGCTCCTGAGTTAATTCAGGCCATAAACAGGGTTCAGCGGACACAGAGAGATGCAGCTCTCCTCGTATTTGCAGGCATCTCTGACTCTGATGAGGGTGTAAAAATTTTAACAGCGTGTCTGGGCATTTGCATGGGATTGTGTGCACGAGTGTGTGAATCGAAGCCAAGGCTCCCTCCAGCAGCCTGCAGGAGACCTCGGATGACCCTGAAATGAAACGTACAGACGGATCCACCCACTCAACAGATCTTACAGCAGGTCTGGTTAGTCATTCCCAGGCTTTGTCAGAGGGAACAGCAGCAGCAGCAGCGGCAGAGCTGGAAGCCCCCAATGAGAGGGAGGAAGAGGGGGGCAGAGTGACACTAAGCAGTATGAAAATGTCGCAGTGTGGATCCATCATGAATCAGCCGTCAGGACGTGGACGATCAGGAGGCTGTGAATAATAAAGTACCTGCAGCTCAAGTGAAGCAGCTACCTCTCATTTCTTTCAAGAGCACCTGTGAAATCTGCGCATGAATGTTTCTTTTTCATCAACTTTAGAGGGATCTGATGGGGGGGTTACAACATCTCAGAGGAACTTTGAATCAAGGAGCGGAGACGAAATCCTGCAGGCCTCAGTCGGATCAAACCCCTTCTCCAAACCTCTCTCATCTCATTGATCATTAAGCTCCCTGCTTAAGGTGAACTTCATCCACCACTTTTATTTATTTTTTTCTCTCCAAACCCTTTCCAATCCAGCGCTGCATGCAATGTGCTTCCCACTCTTGCTGTATATCTTTCCCACCGAAGGGAGCCTATCGAACCGAATGTGCTGCCTGTAACAAATGCAAGAGGCTTCAGGATTACAGTAACACTCACGGTGCTCACATGGCCAAAAGATTACAATGCTGACGTCTTGACTGGCCGCTATAGCAGAAATCCATCCCGTTTTCAGCGCTTTTGTCACTGAATATTTCATAGTGAACACATCAATTATGAATTAAGAAATGGAGTAAACTATTGAGAGAATTTAGAGCTGGTGCTACAACAGAAAATTTAGCTTGTAGGTTTGGTGTGTAAGAGATTAAATGATATTTAAAAAAGGCCTTGCAGGGAAAAATAAAGCTTTAACAGGCTCATATTTTATTCTAAAGCTTCTTCTTAGTACAGAAATTGCTACACAATTTCAATTAACCTACTTGGAGAACTTCACTAAGATTACTAACAACAGAGAGGCTCAATGTGAAACATAACTTACAATACAACCAAAAACCTAAAAAAAACACAAAACCTAAAACTATGGATTCAACTGCGAACGCAAGCAAAGGCAGAATTCAGTTCACAAGTCAAACACAGGGAAGAGATTTCAGTTCTACCTAAAACCAGGGCAGTTTCAAAAAGCCATTTTCAGTGCATACCTGAACTCTGCATTTACATGCTGGTCTCTCTGCTTTACCTGAATGACAGCAGAATACAGATTAGGTGCCGTTTATGGGGGGAAAAAACCAAGTGCCACAGCAAGGAATGTTCTTTTTGAGGACTTGGTGTATGACATATATACCCAGCTGATTACAAACGCGGTATGTCAGAAGGCACAGAGTGAATTCAAATTCCTCGTTGCAGAGCTTCACTTGCAAGGGGAAAAAGCACAGTTAAAGGATAAGCTCTACTGTGGAATGCTGTGACTGATTGTCTTCTTTCTTTTAATCCATTGTTTGGTATGAACCACGTTTGGTCTCTTGTGTCTTTGCTTCCTGCAAAACACATTAAGTTGCTGTTTTTTCTAACCTGCCAGCATGCAGTTTGCTCAACTAAAACAATGCACTTTCCTCTCAGGAACCTCGTAGGCACCTAATGCGCTGATTCCTTACCTCAAACACTGCCACTGTTGCTCACACAGCCAAGTTTAAGCGAGGTCTCATAGAGTATTTAGCCTTGATCCAACCTCTTTGACTGCTTTGGAGTTTAATTTATTTTTCTAAATGGGATGAAAACACCTGCATAATCCCTGCTAATCAGCATAAATGACCCATTGCTGACTATTTTTGGCTTCCTTAGTAGCTTTCATGAGCTGTGTGCAATATTATAACATCATATTTGTCCATGACGCTGCAGCCTGACAGATGTCTCACAGTGCACAGATGGTGCATATTTACCTTGTGATCCATGACACCTGCGTAGCCCTCCAGAGTTGACACAGAGAGTTTCTGCGGTCTGTCTGGCCTTTTGGTGGACGGAGCCGGAGCGTCCAGGCGGCGAGAAGACGACGATGACGCTGATGAGGATCTGCCACCGAAGCTGCTGTTGTACACCAACATCAAGCTGGTAACCATGGTAACGATGATGATGCCACTAACCCCTTGGCACTAGAGGGACACATGAAAACACCAGAACACAATACAGCATCAAGTCAGAGGGTTGCCTGAGTAAATTCATTGAATTTAAGTTAAAAAAAAAAAAAAAAAAAGAGCTTGTGGACAAGAATTTATGGTAAAGAAATTGCTGCTAATTAAATGTCAGCTTCCAAAGCATCACAACAACAACAACAACAACAACAGCTGCTGCTTTCCTCATCATGCAAGGCTGCAAATGAAATGTCAGCTGTGCTACTTCATAGGCGTTCAACATGCACTGTGCAAAAAATAGCAGTAGGTTAGTCAGTTCAGACGTGTCTGTCACAGCCTGATTACTGGCCCACACCCGCGCACAGAAAAAAAAAAAAAAAAACTTTCCACGGATGAGCTCTTGCAGGATTATCCTTTATGAATATTCTATAAATATACTGTAAATAATGTACCACAAAGTGCAATTAGGTCACAGTAGATGAACTCACTTCTGAGCAACACTAAAGCTTCCCTCCCTACCCTACAAAAGGCACAGTCACATTTCCTGCAGCTTTCATTCTTTAATTACCACTCTGATCTTCATCTTCATTTCCGCTCGTTTCCACTGCGAGTCTTCATCATCATCATCATCATCATCATCCTCATCCTTCTACCGGCACCGAGCGTCGGGACTCTTCAGCGCGCAACACTTGAGCGGCAGCACCACTGGCATCATGAGCCGAAGAAAGCGTCGCTCCACTACTCTGCCTCCCCCCTCCTCCTCCTCCTCCTCCACCCTCCACCACCACCACACATGCTCTCCTCCACAGGGACGCCCTCATTCAACAGCGCCGAGCTCCGCATGGTCCTAAACACCCCCCGCTCACGTCCACGAGTTCACATGGGGTTCAGGTGGTGGAACCCCAAACGTTCTGCGATGTTCTAGCTCTGTTTTTCTTTAAGTTCCCCAGAATGTTCTTCTTAGAGGCAGGAAGATCTAATCAATTAAAATTTATTCATGTTGCGAAAACAACAAGTGCTGTACTTGTTATCAGATTGGCAGCTATTATGTGCACAGACAGTATAACAATTTAAATATACAGGCAAAATAAAATAAAATAAAAGCCTTTATTCAAGATTTTACAGATGGTGGTATTATAATAAAAAACAAAAATAAAAATAAATTTTACTGTGACCAATAAAGGCCCTGAATCTTTATTAATAATAATAATAATAATAATACTAATAATAATAACAACAACAAAATTGTCTGGTATGTTTTGATTGCCCTCACATTTAGTACCTCAACCATGCTTCTTGTGCCGATATTGTATTGATATTTAAAATATATTTATCTTAAAAGAAATTATCTTAAGGTGTAGCTTACCCGATGCTGTAAATGTTGCACTTACATCATCTTTCCTTGTTATCGTGCAACATGGTGGAGTTTTATAGAAGAACATTCATAATTTGTTACCCTAACAACGTCCCCATAACATCCTCAGAATATTTGCAGAACACAAAACAGTTCTACATTTGTCACCTGAGACCTCAATAGCATCTTTTTTGAATGTTGGACCTTGTTTATGTGACATGATCATAATCTGAACGGTGCAGCCAAAACATTGTGTTTTAGTTCAGTTATAACCGTAAAAGAACATTATTTGAAATGATAAATACTATAATAATAATTTGAAAACTATTGGTCATTGCTTCCCAAAAGGCCAAGATGACAAATGTCTTGCTTGCCCACAGCCCAAAGATATTCAGTCATAGAGGAAGAAAGAAAATTAAAAAATTGAATCAGCTGGAATCTGAGAATTTAGACTTTTTTTTTTTTTTTTTTGGCTTAAAAATATTTCAACTGATTAATCACCTAGCAGTTGGTGATTAATTGTTGTACGTCTGTATTATCTTAAATGTCATATCTGATTATGCTGTAAGCTCCAAACACATCTTTGGTCACTCATATTCGGTTAGAAGTTTCACAAGGACACACCCTCTCTATCACCACAGACACAACGCTCTGTGTATTTGCACATTCTGACTGTCTGATCCAGATAAAAGCAGCTGCAGACGTAATCAGTTTTTGGCAGACGATCAGGTTTTGTCACAGCACTGACAGCTGGGGTGCCAAAAGATACAGTAAACTAACAGAAAATAACCATTTCATAAAAAGACAGTAACTTCCCATAACAGAAAATGCATTTTCTCGCCTTAATCTTACATGAGATCTCGCACAGTTTTCGCCACAGTTGGTGCATATTTGCTTTGTGATTCATGGCAGCTGCATGCCCCTCCAGAGTTGACACAGAGCATTTCTGGAAAACAATTGTGAAGGAGAATAAAGATACTGCAAGTCCCAACTTGCAAGATGATAAGATCACTTCCTTTGGTTGGTATGTGTGAAACTGTCCGTGTGAATCCATGCGTTTGAGACACTGGGCTGCAGTTTTAAGGTGGAAATGCTCCGTCATGGTGCTGACTGCTCATTTTGCTGATGATGTGTCCTCCAGCATGTAAAAAATCAACATATAAACATGTTAACAGAGCAAATAGATTTTCGCCTGAGGGAGTCTTTTAAATCGATGCCTTTCTTCTTAGTCTTGTCTTTATTCTCTGACCCTGCAAGTAGACAGCATCGGTTCCTTTAGGTTTGCTTTGTGTGAAACTCTGGCAATCTGAATCTGTGGTTTTGTCACTGCTACACTACAGTTTCAAGGTGAAAATGCTCGGCTACGGCTGCTAACAGTGCTCCTGATGTGTATTCCAGCATATTAAGTACATCATATGGACATGTTGACAAGGTAGAACACTTGATTTTCACCAGAAGGGGTCTTTAAATATATAAATGTTCAGCCTGAGGCGCCGATCAGTTTGTGTTTTTCATCCTGCTGCACCACCTCTGTAACCTCAGCTTATTTTAGGCTACTGTTTAAAATTCCAACTGATGCAGGCTCAAAGGAGCACTAAAACTGATTCATTTTTAAACCGCTGAACTCTGCATCGTCTACCTGACGGCAGCCTCTCACGGAATGGATCGCACAGGGTTCTCTGCAATTAATTCTATTCTCAAAGCGCTGTGTAAAATGAATCACTTCCTCGCGACAGAACCTGCATTTTTCATTGATTTCAAACAGAGTCAAGCGCGGTTACCTTCAGTCGGCGCTGTAATGCATTCAGTCTTGGGTTACGCTGCTTTTCTAATGAATTATATTATCCGCAGACGTGTTTACCAGCGTGCTCAGTGTGGAAGCTCCATCAGATAAAATTATAATCCATCTAAATAACCTTTCAAGCGTCTATATTTCACACATTTTAGTAATTTGACGCTGTCAGAATGTGCAGGAGTTGGTAACAGGCGCGCTTTGTTCAATAATGCATTAAATTCAAATGACGAAACTCCAAATCGGTGTTGCTGAAGTTTTTATAGTTTTCTGATGTCTCCCAATTTCCTCAGATTTGAGGTGCAGTCGATGAAATGCTGGAGAATAGAACAGAGAAGAAGAATTCCTTTATTGTCATTACAAATCAAGCAGCAATCTTGTCAGTGCATTCACAAAATCAACCATTTTTAAACCACAGGAGGAGAGGTATGAATGTATTGCATCGACACATTTTCTGCAGCGTGCAGCGTTATCCCAGCATGCATTGTGTGTTCTCGGCCTTGCATTGTTTGTTTAAATAGAACAGAGTAATTTGTGAATTTGTCTTTGGAAGGCTTCAGTTTTGATGAAGGATTTTTGATTATACAAAACAGAAACAGCTCCTTAGATCTCTTGACATAAACAATGATGAAAGGAAGATTCATTTTGGTAGCTGTGATGTGCTTTTATTCTGCGAACATGAATTCAGTATTTTCAGTGAGTGACAATCTTTTGAAGATTAAATGAATCTTGTGCTGCACAGTTGAAACTGATGAGAGAATAGCGCCGCGTGTTTTCAGGAACTTAACTTTTCTGTTTGTGCTGCTATTACACTCCTCAAGTTATGGGATGTCGGCAATATCAGTACAGAACAGCATTTCTGGTACTTTTTTTTTGTCATTCCAGTAAATTTTTAGGACATCCCATTTAAGGACAGCAGACAATTTTCCTCATTTGTCACGGCAACCTGAGCAGCTAAAGCTCCCAATGGGTCACAGATTCGCTGAAGGCTGTAATCTAGTCAGGAAGAGTCTTTTTATAGACGCCCTCTGAGATGGCGTTATTGTGTTTGCTTGTCATGTTCCAGTCATTCATCAGCAAGTCTCGTTTCATAAACCGAAATGCACCAGTTTGCTTTATGGGAATTGATAAGTAATTTATCTGAAAAACAACAAAGAATATTGCAATCAAGCTATAAGCTGTAAAAAAAAAATAAAATAAAATAAAAAATCAGGCTAGCCTACTTAAAAGCTACAGTGGGAGCAGCTTGTCTTCTCTTTTATGTTTTTGGCCCAGATTCATTCAAGTTCAGACAAATGCTTTGTTGCACTAATTAGCTTCGACATTTTCCATCTTAAATCTGATTCAGGGATTCATGCAGAGCCTGATGAGATAACGCAACACAATGCAACAATGCTGTCTGATGCCGTAACGTGGGACTGCATATAAAACAGGACTAAGTAGTTTGTGGTACAGTGGGAACATATAAGGTGGGATTGCGTTGCAGTTTTGATCATGCTTTGTGGATATAGATGATCTCCAGCTTAGTAATTGGCCAGTGTTCCCAACCCGGGGGTTCAGGAGCTCACCCTAAAAAGATCACAAGACAAATCTGAGTGAATCCAAGGTGATTGGCAGCACATGGAAGAAGCGTCACATAAAGACAGTTTTCCTGAATTTTCTCTAAATCTTATTGTGTATAAAGAGTTACAGGTCGAAAAGGTTAGGAATCAGTGCTCAAAGTAGCATAAACACAACATAAAAACATGCAAATACAGTAGAAAGGGAGGTTAATTAAGAGATTAAATGATGAATATTTTATTTTTACTGTATATTTTTTTAAATAAGGGAATAAAACTCATACAAAACAGACAGTGCACATGTAAGGAGTGCTTCATGAAACACTTCAATAAACATACAAACAAATGTCACTTCCCTGTATCAACTTAATTAGTAAAAACAACACAAATTATAATATAAAAGCAAATTTTTCATTGCTATAACAACTTTTTTGTACAATGACTTGGTCTTTAATTTAGCCATAACAGTCAAAACAATTATTTATTGGTTTGCTTTGTATGACAACAGCTCAAGTCAAGTCAGTGTTATTTATATTTGTCCAAACAAATATTGAGTCAAAGTAGTTTTCAGTAGAAAAATAGGATTAATGCTACATATTTACAGAAAAACCCACATTATTATTTACTATCTACATTTAAAGAACTACAATCCCCATTATATATATTAGTAATTTACCTAATTAGTTAAAATATTACTAAAATAGTGCCAGGTCATTTGTTTATTTTACATTTTAATTTCGGTCCTAGACCAGCTGCTAAAATCGAGGTACTGTCATTTCTTTAAGCTTGTGTTACAGTTAAAACCAACTTCAAGAATTCTGAATTATACTAAAGTAGAATCACGAACACTTGCGCCTCTACTGTTTGCAGACGATGTGGTTCTGTTGGATTTATAAGAACGTGGCCTTCAGCACACACTGGGGCGGTTTGCAGTAGAGTTTAAAGCGTCCAGGATGAGAGTCAATACTTCCAATTTCAGAACCAGTGGACTGCTCCCTCTGGGTTCAGAGGGGAGTTAAACTATCTCAGGATCTTGTTCACCGTTGATG